ATTCATCACTGACTGGACGTCCCGACACTTCCATTACGCTGCGAATCTTTCCAGGCTTGGTCCGTCGATTGACGACGTGATTCGGACAGGACCTCGTATAGCAGAAAGACTCGGATATATCGTTGCGGACTACGTTGGAAACGCTGACGCCGGTCGAGACATTGCCCAAAGTCTCCACGCCCAGGAACACGCCCAAGACCTGCTCAACGCGGAGCAAACTCTTGCAGCTTTCAGAGCTGTCATGGACTCCTCATCATCTCCTGCGCACCCCGCAGACGTCGGGCTCGCAAACAGACACCCGCGATCACACCACAAATTCTTCTAATGGGAGGGGGGCCAAGGGCCCTCGGTTAGCGGTCTTTCAGCTTATGCTACTTAGCAAAATGGGGCTCTATCTTTGCATAGCTAATGGCAATTTGGTGCTTCAAACCCGCACTTTATATTTTTCGCTGCCACAAGAAAGAAGGGCTTTCGCCTAGCCTGGCTCATGCTGGTTGGCGGCTGCGTATTGCTGCCGCTTGCCTGTTTGTAATTCAGGGTCGCCAACTACTACAGTCAATGCAATGTCAAACTTCGCCTGACTTCGCTGAGATGCGATGGGGCAATTCCAGCAAAAGTTCTGATTTGCTCTTTATTCAGCCGGACGGGTTTCTCCACGCCATAAGCTCCGCTTTGCTTCTGGGAGCTTCAGACGAGCAGTCGTGCCTGGCTATACGCATGATTCCCGACGATGACGCTGGACCGAACCCTGAACTTAAAGGTTCTCTATCCCTCCTCTGGCCGCTATTCGGTACCTTCTGCCTCAGTCAATTTCTGGAGACTATATCATGTGCTGTGCAGGGACGTCCAGTCGCCGCAGAAACTGGTATGACCTTGTTTGAACATTCTCTTGCCTTCGCGGAGGCAGATTCTGCCATTAGCAATCAATTAGGATGGAGTTCCTTCGCCCTCAAGCAGGCCCAGACCACGGAAGCTGGTGCCAGTATTGGCAATGCCATCGCCATCAGCCGATCCATGGTCCTCCAAAGAGTCAATACGCCACCCGAGGTTCTTCTAATCGCCTTGCTCTCTGTCATAAGTCACCTGACGAGTCACACCCTGGGTGTGTTCAACCTTCAAGCTCGATTCCGTCTCCTGAGCACTGGCTTCTGGGGTTTATGCTTCATGGCCAGCGTCGTTCGGAGCGCGTGGACATTCACTCTTGATGACACCTTGACTCAAGGCCTCTTACGGTTCCCCACGGTGTGCATTATAGGCTTTTTCCCGCATGTGCTAGTTCTACTGGGAATCGTTGTATGCCTGATGATATATTGTCTCGCTCTTGTCATATCCGCCTCATCGCTGCCTAGCGCGGACAGGCCCAGCAACCTCGACCTCCGTCAGAGATTGCATCTTGCCCATGCCAATATGCAAGCAAACATGCCGTTGTCCGGTGTTCGTATTAACAGGGAGATGGATTTCTACACTGCCCTGTTGCGCACTGGATTCGGCGCCATTACAATGGCGAGTGAAGCTGTATATCTTAACGAGGATAGGGATGTCAGTCTGGCGTCCTCTACGTGGATCGAAGATGAGAGGTTTCGGGAACTGGAAGAACTCCGTAGGCAATGGCTTGGCGAAGAATTCGGGTCCCGCCACGATCCTACCGGCACATCCATCCTGTTACCAGTAACGAAAGGCAGGGCTCTGGCGAAGAGTGGTTTTGATCGAGAGCGTGCTGCTCAAAAATTGCCCAAGACCATTTCGGGGGAAGGCAGACTGCGAGACGGCATCGGCGCCGCCGAGAGGAGCGGCAGATGGTTGATGGCTTTAGATTTTGTCCTCAATACCAGCAAACTGGTGGTCAGAACGACGACAGGCCTGGCCATCCGACTCCTCTCCCGCCTTGGTATGCGCATACCACGATGGCTTCTGTGGATGGCTCAGAGGCCGAAACAACAGGGTGAGACGGCCGGAACGGGCACTGGACATCGATCTACAGCTTCTCACAGCTTTCAAGGGGGTATAGCAGGGGGCGTTGACATACCCTTGACAGATGCTGTGGATGTTGAGGCCGAGTTCAGGCAGCGAGCATGGTCAGCAACGCAGAGCTGTGTTCCCTTGAACGAAGTCGACCTGGACTCTGAGCTGTATCGCTGGTGGCTGGGAGGTGGCTGGTGGGGAACCGCAGATATGAGCGGTGACTATGACCCCAATGCCGACTCTGACTACGACGATGACGATACAACAAGCGTTTTGTCAATAGCGACACACGACGACAATGAAGATGCTTGGGAATCAGAAGATGGGGGCGGTCAGAAGACGCCCACGCGGAATTCGACTCAGCTCAAGTATGAGACGAGCTTTGCACATGACAATCCCATGCAGCTCGACGACCTGGTACGGCTTTTAAATCCGGCGACTCCTGAGGATAAAGAAGAGGCTGTTGCGTTGGCTGCTCACCTGGGCAGTAGAGATGTATTGACCAGATCACAATACCGCAGCCTCCAACATCGCCGCCGAGTGGAGATACTCAACCCCAATGCATCCGCAGAAACTGATCTAGCACGAAGCACGAGATTGACCCCACAAGAAGAAACCGAATTGCTCGAGAGGCTCATCATATCACGACGCCGACTGCGTCGAGAGCCGCAAGCTGAGGCGCATACCTCTTGGTCTGATGGTGCAGCCGGATTCGGGTCAGATGGACCGCAGTGCGTAGTCTGCCAGAGCATGCCCAGGACTATCATAGTGTGGCCCTGTCGTTGTCTAAGTTTGTGCGACGACTGTCGCGTGTCGTTGGCCATGAACAACTTTGACAAATGCGTGTGCTGTCGGCGCGAGGTCATAAGTTTCAGCAGGATCTTTGTTCCTTGAAATTAAGTCGAATTAAAGGGGTTGTGTATGGCATTTGCCTACTACAGGATCTTTCTCTTATCATGACTTGTATTTGCAGCCCGTACAAACATTGCTTACACATAACCACGCTCCATCGAATCAATCCAGAGTACGCCTACATGCCAGCCCATTCTATGCAGAAAGCTCTAATGGAGGGATCGCCAACTCCAGTAGTATGATTCCGCGGCACCTCGCCTCCCAATAAGAAGCCTTTTTTTACTGAAGTGCCCAGCCGGCCACTGCCAACCATGTCTAGCATTGAAATCTCCTCCTCCCACTCATAGTCTGTAGCGAGGAAATGTGCATGATATCTCAAGGGATCGCCTGGATAGACACTATACTTAGCGCCGAATCGAAGGCCAGGAGTCATAAAGTAGCCTTGGGAGAGTAAGTGCGCGTGAAGGGGACCAACGGCAGGCGTTGCTTCAGCGTGTTCAGTTGACGAGGCGGATGGCAAGAAAAGCCCCAAGCTAGTAGTGTTAGTGACTGTGAGCGGCTTCACAAGACTGCGGCCTGCCACAGACTGTGGGTCATCAGCTAGACGAGGATTTCGAACATTCCCAAGCCGGTCTGAGTCAATATTGACATGTGTTGAGGGTTGAGCATGTTCAGGCGTTATGCCTCCTTGGTTCCTGGCCTTGGCTGCAAGCTCCCGACTCTGGGCAGCTTTTTGTGCCTGACCTTCAGCAAGATGCTGTTTGGCTTGCTGGCGACGATCGTTCAGCTGGTCGATATACTGTTTACGGCTGCGTCTGTCCTGCTTCAGGGCAGCCAGGTGACTTGTAGCCTCGTCTGCAAGCACGGCAGCCTTCTGACCCAGGAGCAAAGCAGCCTCTTCCGGGAGAAGCTCTAAGGGAAGGCTCAGGAACACATTCTGCGTAGGATTCTGCGGGGTCGACCCGACCAGAACTGAGCAAAGGTGGTGTCGCCGACGCAATATCGACACGTGATCAGCGTCGAAAACCAAATATCGGTCGGCGATCTTGGAAATCCGTATCTGCTCGACAGCAGAACTTGCTTCTGGACTGTCCATCGGGCGTCTGTAGCAATATGTTAGCATCAACTCGATGCTTGACTTGGACAAATTCGAGCGTCTTGATGGTATTTAAGTCATAACAAAATGTAACATATTGTCATCACTAAGGTTCAGTGGATTGACAGATTGATTGATATGAAAGATGTATAATCACAGGGTACTGAAAATTGGTTCAACATAAGAAAACGGGTGTTTACATACCTAGTACTGCGCGATGTGAAGAGGGAAGGTTTCAAGAAAAGCGTTGCTGAGAGCAAGAGAAGAAGAAAAGCGCGATTGAATTTTCGCGGACACTATGGAGTATCAGAAATTCGATATCGGTTGGTATGTATCTGTCTAAGCATTATTATGCATTTTCTGTGGTGTGCGACTCGGGCAATATTCATACTTGAGAAGGGTCCTCGTATTGGCCCACCCAGACTCACAGCTCGACAAACACCAATTGTAGACGGGCTACATCTGACCCAAGGAATACGATCGGACGGAAGGCATTGTTATCATGTTGCTCATGTGTTGCATTGTTTGGTTGTCATTGGTATGGCTGACGGCAGCTGCTCTCAGTGAGCACACGAGTCTCACAACTACTTGGCCTCATCTGCAGGCTTGTCTCATAAGATATCGCCGTTCCATTAGAATGATAAATCATGGCTCTTAGTATCCTTTGACGCAGCATCATTTGCATCTGCAGTGTCCCCAACGGGAGGCAGGCTATAGGGTTTGATCACCAACCCGCTCGATGAGCTCAACTTGAAGGAAAGGTTCTTTTGAGAGAGCCTGCCTCCTGGGCCTATGCCAAGTTCAACTGTAACAGGAAGACGGTGTATGTTGAGCATTCCTTGGGCGGCGTCGTCTGATTTCGACCCTGGCTGAGCGTGCACCGGTTGCTGCAATGGCACTAGCTCCACGACACCGTCTAACAGGGCTTCCATCCACCGTACGAGACCCGTGGATCTGGAATAGAGGGCTGTCGATACCGAAATCATCGCTGACAAGCGGGAACCATATTTTCGAAGTAATGCCCGTAGTGCGTGCAAGAATTGAAGGACCTCGGATGGTTTAGAAGTCGACGGGCCATACGACGCCGGTGAAAGAAGATTCGGCACGACGACACGATGTACAGATCCTGGTGGCGAGGAACGCATCGCCTCCGCTAAAGAGACTGTATAAAGCTGGAGCAGAGGCGGGCTTTGTTGAGCGGTATGCTTCGGAGCGGGTGGCATTGTTGGCCGTATCACGTCTAGGTTGCCCCTACAGTCCCGGATTTCCAGTTTGGTGGCGAGATCAAAGGTGTGACAGAACGGCACACTAAGTGATTTTGCATCAGTAATCTGCTGCTCACCCATGGCTGATGAAGACTTAGTTCGGTCACTCTGAGAGACACGCTGTGAAGAGCGTCAAGTGTTGGCCACATACATGAATTGGGAGGTTCGCCACCACGAGACAAGGACTCGTATCTCCATGCAATCTTCATCTTATCATCAGAACCGTTGGAATTCCTGAACTTGCTGGTACGAGGGAGTTGGGACAAGCCCGGTAGCTCAGATCGCCAGGCATCTCCAACACCAAAAACGTGAACGTGATGCCCCTGCACAAGGCCTTCGGCGGCATAGTATTTCAACACAACCCCAGAAAAGTCCGTGTTTCCGGATTCTTCCAGAAGAATAGCGTTTCCCAAGGGGAGGCCTGCATGCCCAGATAAGCACTGGTCCAGTGACGCAGTCCCAGTCGAGATTGTCAGGCGGCCATCCAGAGGAGAAGGTCGTGTTCCTGGAGCATGTCCGTTTCCGAGCTTGGAAGCAAACTCCACGGGAGCTCCGGCGGCTGGGACTCCCAAAACGATGTTTTTCTTTCTGAATGACATAATTTCCGTGAGACAGTCAGTGCCAGAGTAGACTTTTGGTAAGAAGATGCTCTTTGATGTTGTCAACACAAGTGGACACTCATGCTCCAACCGGGGCGTTAAAGGCGATAACTGTATAAATGGATCTTCAAGAAAATACAGGTCCTGTCCCGCTGTACCCAATGCAGACCAGGCGCGTTCTCGCCCCACCTTAAAAACCAAAGTCGACAATCGCCCATCCGACAGCTTCAAAGGCAGGTAGCCTCGGTCATATATCGAATCACCCCCTACATGCACCAAACAACGGAGAGTCTGTCGAGGCACACGATTGCACCCAAGAAATATTGCCGCAAAGAATAATAGAGGAAAACGCCATAATGACGACTACCGGCGGCGATGTGACACTCTTCGAGGAGAGCTTCACTATTACGAATTTCGACCAGTCCAAGTATGACCGTGTTGCTCGCATCTCAGCGACATCGGCAGACAACCAGACCGTCATGACCCTCGATATCAACATTGAGTTGTTCCCCTGTGCGGTGTCTGACAACTTGCACGTCGTACTGGCAACCTCCTTGGCGCACGATGGAAGCAAGGACGAGGAGAAGGGCTGGCGGGATGTGGCCAAGGGATCTGGTGGTGGCGCAGAAGCGACACTGGCGGACATGTTCGATTACGTGTGCCATGGGAAAATCTACAAGTTTGAAGACGCCGATGATGGTCAGATCATGTAAGTTGCTGCTCCCGAAGTGGCCAGAGAAGGGCAACAGTGTGGCGCTGCTCGTTTCGTCGGCTAACCTAACCTCTTATATAGTAAGGCGTACGTCTCATTTGGAGGCATGCTCATGTCTCTGGAGGGTCCATACAAGAAGCTTACGCCACTGCGCGTCGACTACACATATCTCCTGATTAAGAAATAAGCAGCTGAACAAGACCATGATGTTGTTCATCAAAAAACACTCAACATGCCTGCTGTGCGGACGCCGCCGATGCCATTACGGGATGGACGAGGAGCTCCGATATTGTCGGACACCATAGTATCTGAGGCCAGGGCTTGTTACGCAAAGCGAAGGCTACGATCGCCCTTTTACAAAAGGACTTATCATAATTGGCCTACAGTCTAGTTCGGGAACGACTCGAACTTGTGGGGGCCGGGAAAGGGGAGCTCGCGGTGCAGTCTGAGCTTTATCTCGTCGAAGTTGGGCTCATTGTCCTGCGTAAGGATGCCATGCCGGATCAGGAAGTCAATGACTACCAAGGCACAGTTCGGCTTGAACTTCCCAAGTGCCAATTGATGCTGTACCTCCTCAATACCGCAGAGCTCGAACCCAGCAACCTCACCGTCCTTAGGTCGCGGAATGACGTTTGGTTGTAACTCAAGGTCGTATATCCATTGGACTTCGGGGTAGATTAGGCCAGCTTGACCATCTTCCTCGTGCGTGACGTAGGTGTAAGTGACTCCGCCAGCTGCCAACGTTTGTCCTCGCACGACGTCCTCAGCAAGGTCCGCCTCTTCGTTCGCCTCCCTGATGATGCATTCAAACGGATCCTCTCCCGTCATGAGTCCACCAGCTGCGGTGTTGTCCAACATGCCGGGGAAAGTAGACTTCGTGGGCGATCGTCTGGCTATCCACATCTTGATACCATGCCTTGCCTTTGCACATCGTACGAAGGCATTCAGATGAACGCCGTACCGCGTAACACCAAAAAGGCCGGTAGCGGATCGCTCCATGTTATAGAGTAGCTCTCCATCGTTTGCGTAAATGGGCCATAGCTCGTCCCGCCATCCGCGAAGCACTGGGAAGGCATCTTGGCTTCGCCAGTGATTCATCAGCGCAGCAACAACAGCGCTGCGCTCGGGTTCGGTAGTCCCCTGGAAGGCGTATACAGTGCGACGGGCATGGTCGACATCAATGTCTCCCCTGACGTCTGAGGGTGTCTCCTCTAGCCGCGCCAAGACGTCTAATGGCACGTAACCTAGAGGGACATCTCGACCAACGTCCTTCCATCTCAGTGTGTACAGAGGCTGTTGCAGTCGTCCGCGGATTTCATCAATCGACCCATACGGAAATCTGCACTACGTTTAGGCGTGACACCTAATTATACAACCACGCAATTGCTACTTACGAGTCAATGTTGTTTGTAAGATCGATATTGCTCAGATTGGACATGGTAGTGTATGTACGGACGAGAAAACAGCGGCGGGATCGACGGGATGCACTTCGTGATATAATCCGTGCCGCTGGGGAGGACATTGAGGTGCGTAAGTGAGGCCAGAGACCCAGCTTTTACAGGTTCTCCAGAATTGACTCAGACAGGGCTAACTAATTGCCCGGCAACCTGTTGCAACATCCCGGTGCCTGTTGAGCCCGAAGACGGCCACCCCATCAGACGAGGTGGGGCTAATGCAATAACTCATACCTCTATATGCCTTATATACGGGTCTAGGCATTACATGTCCCACCAACGCCGCTTCTGGCCTGCCTGTGAAAATGATTCTAGCTTGCAGAGTGTCCTCCAGGAAAAGGCAGTTGAATCGACAGTGGCTGTCTTGAAAATACAGAGATATACCCTCTATAACCGTTCCACCAATATCTTGGATGAGTCTCATCCCGGCAGATATCGTAACTCCAGCACCCGATCGCGGTCTGACCCTTCAAAACCTGTTACACTGAGGGGGACCACGATCATGTCCTCACCACTTTTTGGGGTGATTCCAACTGGTCAACCACTGATCACAGAGCCAACATCAAATCCATCGCAAAATTCATCTCTATACACCATATCTGCCGCCAGATCCTTCACCCATGTTGTCGTTTTCATTCTTCCCGGCATAATTCTTCCTCCAAACACTGCCGCGGCAATATACTTTGCCACAGCGTCTGCCGTGGCTGCCGCCGCCGCAGCTGGTCAGACACCGGATTTTCAGTTTCTGGGTGGTATAGGACCCGGCAAAGAAAGTGCAGTATTCAAGATCAATGCTGCACCTTACGATGATCAAGGGAATCTCAGCGGCGAACAGTCGGGGACCAGCGTCATGATTGGAGTCTCCATAGAAGACGCCACATCTGTAGCGACTCGTATCCAGGAGAAGAAGCCAAACACAACTCCGACTGGTCGTGGAGGCCAGCCGAGTACTGCCGTCTTAGCCCAAAGGATTATACAAAACGCCTTTAACTTCCTGTCTGGGTTCAGTGGGACGGCTGGCCCAGGAGGTGTTGAGGTGGTGCCGTTGAAGGCATTGAAGGCTGGTGGAAGAAGTTTGAAAGTCGTGTTAGGTCTGATCCCAGTTTTCTCGAGCGGCAGCAGCAAGAATGACGGACTTTGTACAACGATCTCTTTGTCGGGGGTATCATGGGATGAGGAGTTGAAGTCTAGCTGGACTCATAAACCGGATTACTTCAGTCGCAGGACGTATGAATTTCAGTCAGGAAGAGCCATGTGTGACAATCTTGTGTGTAGTTCATGCACTACTCTTACTACAAGCTCCGTTTCAAACGCCGCCTAAGCCCTGGCCCGGAACAGAAATCAGCCCATTACATGAAATCGCTAGCCTAGACATTCGTTCCAAATTCATCAGATTCTCACCGAGGGTTTGTGAGCGGACTCTTCAACCTGGTAGGGCTGCCCGTTCGACTGCGTCGCCCAGCGTTGACCGCACTGGGAACCAATCTTTCTCTACTCTCTGTACGCACCGCAACCCCGCCACGATCCACTGATAAAGCCCCTTGGCCGTCTTCATAGCGCTCCAGGTTGAGCTTCGGTCTCGGTAGGCCAGTCACGCGGCCAGAACGAGATGCCTCGCTGCTGTCAGATGCACTGTAATCATCGGATTCAACATCAGCAAGCTCGAACTGGTCCGCGTCTCCCTCTTCGAGAACCCGTTCATACTGAGCTGGACCCCTGCCAAAGATTTTGTTCGCGAATGACAATCCACGTGCAGGTTTGCGGGGGCTGCCTGGTCGGGAGTTGCGGCGGAAAACTGCTCCAACCCACCCGCACCAGCGTGACCGACGATCTCTCTTCCGCAACAGAAATGTGAAAAAAGCCACCAAGACAACCACTAAAAGTAAAGTTGAGCCTGTTGTTGACGTAGCCTTGCCTATGAGGCCTCCGTTGTTGTTTTGCCGACCGTTGCCCTCTCGAATGGGGGCGTATTGTGACCCGGCCGGTTCAAAATCCTTGGCTTCTGGTACGTTACTACCGAACCCGACGGGTAAGTCCTCCGTATCGTCCAGAGGCGGAACTTGTCCAGCAGCGTACAGGATCATTTTCCCAAGCGTCCAGCTGACCTCAATCCCATCAATCTTGTTGACAGGACGGAAGGGGTCTAAAAACCCTCGATGCTTGGCACCATCGATGACCTCATCCGAAACGTTGAGGCCGGGCAACGGCTCGTGCTCAAGTCCGGGGCGCGGAATTCCAATGCCTTCATACAAGACATTGATGAGCCAGGACGCCTTAAAACATGCCTCTTGAGCGTTCCTTGCCTTCTCTTCCAAAGTTTTCTTTCGCGCCTCCAAATCGGATGCGATATCAATCCAATCACGACTACAGAATTCCACTACGTTTTGCTGGTAAGTTGCGAGGTCGTAGGCCTTATGTTTCCCTCCGAAGACACCGTGAGTAGTGTGCCAGTATTCAGAAACACCGACGAAGTGATTAATGCTGAAGTCGATGGATGGGACGTGTTGACCGTTTAGAAGACATGGGTCGTCCAGACAGGGCGCATCTTTGCCAAGAAGGGGTTCTGTATTGGCGAGACACTCTTTAAAGAGACCTGTGCCCACTAAAGTGAGCTCCTTCTTCGCTTGCTTGTCAGTCAGGGGGTCGCCGTCAGGTGTAGTTCGTAAGCCTTTCGGCATGCACGGATCTGGGACCTCAAGATTGCTTGATTTGTCGTACGATTCCTGAAGCCGATCGACGTATCTTTCGCGGGCCTGGTTGGCTCCATATCCAAGCCAGGTCGCTGTGAAGACTTTGTGTTCTGACACAGTACCATCCATGGTTCGTAGGCGAACAAGTTTGAGATCGTTGGAGTGCTTTTTCGCTTCGGTGGAGTTTGGTGCAAATGCAATCTGCGCGCTGGCTCCGCCCATATCTAAGAATCCATACGTGTGGTGTCCCTCACCATGTTGATGATTCTGGGGTTCATCAAAGCCGCCAAGCAAGTAATTGGTGGCTAGCCAACCGTATAAGCCCTCGGTTTCTCCAGATATTACCTGAATATTGGTATTGCAATCAGGTAGGGAGAAGTCTGTGTTGTCTCGAAGGTAGATGCACATGCTCTGTAGCAGTTCTTGCTGTTTGATCTCCGGTAGCAGTCTCATGCCGGCGGTGGCCATGAGATAGATCGGAGTTTCGGCGACCTTGGAAGCAGGAACTTCATCTAATGCGAGCTCGACAAGTGCCTTTAGATGTTCGGGTCCGATATCCTCGGGTTTGTCCGCGAAAGAGGAGACGCCTGGATGAATCTTCTCACTTGTTTCCAGTTTGATCTTGGGCAGGCGGTGGAGCTCTTCTTTTGTGGCATCCTGGACAGCTTCCGCGTGTTCTTTCCACTTGTAGACGTATAAGCGAGTACCGGAGGATCCGGCATCGAATATGATACCGTACTTAGCTGTAGCCACGAGGGAATGGTCAGCAGTTTGTTCTAGTTGCTGCAAAATGAGGTCTTACATTTCTTGCCCATTGCGAAGACCCTGGAAGATTCTGTCTGTGATAACAACCAGACTGTTGCTGGTGTAGGCGAACTGGCACCGGGGGTGACCTGCGTGGAATCGAGGCCGATAACGAAACGAGGCCGCGTAGACCTGGAACGCGCGAGAGGAGGCGATGCAATACAAGAAAATGACAGAGTTATGCGATGCGCGATTGTACAGCGTAGAAGCGAGCGACAATCATCCCTTCCGGATGGAGATTTTCGTTCCAAAGCGTTGCGGTGACCGTCCCAGGTGAAGAAGCGAATGGCAATGGCAGTCGGGCCAAAGAGACCGAATTTGACAGATTACGCGATAGATGATGTTGAGGCACGGAATTGGGTTGGAACCCAAACGGGAAAGCTCGTATCGTACCACCGAAACCTTTACAGATGAAGACTCCAATCCCATGTACCGGAGATAGCCTAGGGAATGGGCCAGGGTGCGAGGGGTGCGCCATCACTCGCGTCACAGCAAGTCGATGGCGTATCTCTTAGGTACTAAAACACGATGAATCCCTTATCGGCGGAAGCACCCTGGTTAGTGGGTCCCGTCGTGGCGTGACAGGGATGTACCTTTGTGCTAGACTTTTCTGATCCGAGCAAAGGGCAACCACGTCAACCCAGATATTCATCTGAAGGCCAACCTACCATCGCCCGAACCCAGGCTTGTCGCCTCTCTGTTGAGTTTTCGGAACGGCCGTGATCATTAGCATTCATTCTGGGCCTACTCGTAGCTCGCATTTCCTTCGGTTGTTCGCCATGGTTCGGATCAAGGAAAGATATCTCCTCATCAACATTCTCTACCCACTGGACACCACTAGAAGAACAGACAGCAACGTTCCGGCCTTTGTCAGACGTCATCGGCCGACACCAGGCGATCTTTCGCCACGGGATCTCGTCAAAGGAATACGGCAACAAGTATCAGCGTTATTCGGAGACTATGGCTCCGGCGCATTCGAGGGTAACAACCTCGTAGGTGAGCTTCGTTCGATATTTGCGTCCAATTCAACAATTCGGGTCTGATTGTCTGGTAGTCAAATATTTGTCCAAGGCAACTTCCACCTTCATCTTGAAGGTCAAGAGAGCCCATTATCGCTTGGTTTGGGCGGCACTCACAACCATCAATTCACTTCCTCTGAGCTCCAGCAATGAGAAGTCATGTGTATTCAACGTCGTGCGTGTCAGTGGAACAATACGCAAGGTCGAGGAAGAAGCTGTACACCAAGCCAGACAGCTAGTGCTTGCCGTCCGAGCAGAAGAAGCGTCCGATACACGACTTCCCACCATGCTTGAGCGGCCGACCACGAGTCGCACGTCGCCTGATCGCAAAGGAGAAATCCCTATCATGGTTCCAAGGGAATCCGGCAATGACGACAGCGATGAATCAGAATTGAAAGAGCATCTGAATTCAAGCTGAAGACAGCTTAGGGGTATCATTCATGTTTAAGTCTTGCGCACTACCTTCACCCCGCTGTTGGCCGGTACATTCATATCCCCAAAATCGGGATCATGTACGCTCGATCCTCGGAAGCCTTGAGAGTTGTGAACAGACGATAAATCTTCGCCAGGACGCTCTTCTGCTCCCTCTCTCAACACCTCTTCCTCTTGCTCGAGCCTGTCGTAATCGGCTTTTTGATCAACCCATCGTTCCTGGATGTCGAGAGCACCTAGCATAGACGACTCGTTCCTCATGGCTACTTGCCAGACAGTGTCGTTGGCCCCTTCAGCTGTACCAAAGACATACCCCCCAGCTCGATCAATCACCCTCAGAAGATGCATCATGCTCTTCTTATTTTCAACCGCCAGGACCTCAAAACGAACCAACCCGTAACTTTCTATCATGTTAGCCACAGCCTCATTGAGCCGCCCAAACTTATCATTTCGCATGACGGGCGACTCTTCCTCAAGATAGGGCATCAGATAGGATACATCTTGTACGTCGGTGTAAAAGTCAAGATTGAAAGGCAAGGGGTCATAGGAAGCAACTTTGTCGATTTTGCTCAGGACGTTGATGTGAGGCAAGTCCATCTGGAGCATGGCTCGCAATGACAGAAGAAGATTCGAGATATAGAGCGATGGTTGAGTCAAGCAGAAGGAGTCGGAGAGGTGGACGACGACAAGCTGTAAAAAGTGCCCATGTATTAGCGCTGTAGTCGACGCGACGTCCGATCAGGAAAATTCGTGGCCTACCCGGTAACCAAGCTTTTGTAGTCTCAAGAAGATATTGCGAAGAGAACTGTGGTGCGTGTATAATTCAACTTGTCCTGGACAATCAAAAATGACATAGTCATCTCCAAGTTCTTTTAGACCTTCTTCGAGCCAGTCGATGTTATGTTCAAGTTCTTCTAGTGCATACAATATTCCGCCATTGGGCCCGAGCCTGTCTCTCGCCATGATGTCCTCAAGCTTCGCTACACTGCGAATGTCGATGGCTTTGGGATAGTTGGCGTTCTCATTGGCAGGGTCCAGGTTGACCACGGAACAAGCACGTCCAATGGCTCCTAGAAACTGGTGCACTGTACCACTGTGAGCAAGCTGTACGAGGACGGTAGACGCACTTGGGGATTAAGGCGTACTTCCATCGCAGTATGTGCTCTTCCCTGCTCCAGGACTGCCCAGTACTAGTTGCGCAAACGGCATTGTTGGTATTCTTCTGCTTCTGTATGCAACGAAAATGATATGATTCGGTCCAGGCTTTGTTTCGGTGGCGTATCTGTGGAATCGTGGAACGATGGAGCATGTTGCGTCTTGGTCAGCGATGAAATTGGGCGGCACCACTATCACAAGACTTATCAGAGCAGTGATCTTGGTGGGGGTGGCAGAAAGAATCATGACAGACATGTGCTTACGACAGTGCACGCGCCATCACATTTTGGGTAAGAGTGCCTGACCGCCTGGCCCAAGCTCCTCGCAATAAAAGCCCCTCGTAGCTAAGTCTTCTCTCGTTTTCAACTCAGAATTCTTTGTTCATCCTACATCCAGTTCCTTCCCACAGCGCCAGCCAGCTTCAAAGGTGCTAGCTGTATGCCCACAATGTGACGTGGATCATCTATGCGCACCATGCCGCTGCTATACCGACAAAAATTACTGCTCGTTAGTGACCACGACAATTGAAATGTCTGGTCCAACGACTGCCGGGCCGTCGGGCTTGGCCAGTATCATCAAGGCCTCGACAGCCCCTCTGCCTTCTGCCTTGACCCGTGCTCAAGAAGTTGTGGCCACTCATGGGTCGTCGAGTTGGCTTGGTTTCTTTGCTTGGCTCATCATAGCCATACTGCAGCTTGTCTCTTCAGTCTTGTATTGGACTATCCGCCTGGCCACCATCACAGTTCCCACTCTTCTGTTTCAACTATTCTCCACGAGTTGGACAGTCACGATGAATGCAACCACTCTGTAAGTTTTCGCGCTTCATTCGAAACGTCGCCTAGAAGCCACCGCTCACGATGGTACAGCATGGTCATCACCGTCGCCCTTGTCTCCGCCGTTAGCTGGGTGGTTCGCTATCGCATACTCAACATGTACTCGCGATTACCCCCAGAGCCTCAACGCAAGGAACCGGAAATTGATCTGTTTCCTGACACACATGACGAGGGTGTCAAGTCAGGACTTTCAAGCTACCTGGACGAGTTTCTGAGCGCTATCAAGATATTCGGTTATCTCGAGCGTCCTGTCTTCCACGAGTTGACTCGAAGCATGCAAACCCGGAAACTCATCGCTGGTGAAACTTTTAACCTCGAAGAGGAGAAAGGTTTCTGCATTGTGGTCGATGGGATGGTGGAAATCTTTGTCAAGTCTGGGAGGTCCTTTGGCTCCCCAGAAGCGAGCGCTAATTTTCAAGGCGACCTATTAGATGGAGAAGACGATGCTTTGCCCCATGGTGAGCAATACCAGCTGCTTACGGAGGTCAAGAATGGGGCACCCATGTCGTCCTTATTCTCCATCATGTCCCTTTTTACCGAGGACATTAAACTCACGTCAACAGAGGCTGAAACCCCCGAAAGAAGCACTGCTTCCAGCGCCAATTTCCGATTTGCTGGGGCCGCCCGAACTTCCGTCTCGCGGCATGTCTCCCAGGATGCCGCCGCGTCAATGCCTGGCACGCCGCGATTTGTTGACGTGGCTGAAAACAACAACGACCGTGTACATGAAGACTTGTCGCGCCCGTCCTATACAATCCCTAGCTCGAACCAGGCTGCAATTCCTCCGATTTCGCTCGATGGGTCAGAGCCCAAGCGGACAGCAGTCCGCCCTACACTCCCAGGCAGAGCCGCTTCGACATCGGCCCATCCAGATATCATCGCTCGGGCCACAGTCGACACGACGATTGCCATAATTCCTGCCAGCGCTTTTCGACGACTTACCAAAGTGTATCCAAAAGCCACATCGCACATAGTTCATGTCATTCTATCCCGCTTCCAGCGAGTGACACTTGCCACGGCATACAGATACCTTGGGTTGACGTCCGAGGTGTTGTTGACCGAGAAGAGCATGAATAGATATACAACGTGGCAGCTTCCTAACATGCTTCGGGGCGATGCACTGCTACGCCTCAAGGAAAAATTTGGCCGCGAGCGTCAGCGCGCTGGGGAAGATACGGAAACCAAGGGCATCGCGCTACACAATGCGAATGCCCATCGACGCCGAAAGTCAAGTGTCATGCTGCGCAAAGATGCTGTTTTGCATTCAATGTCCAAGCAAACTTCCTACGTCGCCACAACTATCGCACCCCCAGGAGAGAGACTGGCTACTCAGACGCCCAGTCCCGGAGACTTATTGGCCACTACGAACATGGCTCGAGAAGTCCCTGGTCACAATTTCACAGACTCACCTATTGAGCATGTTGCAGAGGTCATGCGTCTGGATCAAACCAGCCCCTTGGCACAGCGAACTTTCAACCCTTTCGCTAGTGTCAACACTTCGCGCGTGTCACTCGACCCCCGAGACGCCGCCGATGAGGACAATCTCTTCCGGACCTCGATCCTTGAATGCATGTTTCGAGCGATCGGCCTGGGCGTCGGCGGCACTGTTTCGCGGGAACCTGAATCCATGGAGGGATCACCTAGGCTATTTTCGTATGATCAGCGACGCCACAAAGCTATGTTTGGAAATCACAATGCCTTTGGCATCATGGACCCCTTCGACGGCTCGGTTGATGGCGATACCGAGTCATTGACATCTGGTGGCCTTGCCCTGAATACTCCCCCAAGCGCCCAATCACTAGCCAATGATTTGCGTGATGACGTCGAGATTGTTTTCTTTCCCCAAGGCTCAGTTCTCGTTGAGCAAGCGAACGCAACCCCGGACTTACTACGTTATCGACGGCTTCCTCGATATCTGCACCACCAGTGAGGAGTCTTCCGCAAGCATTCTTCAGCCTGGGGCACGAGCATCTACAGCGGGCTTGACTTCTGAAGCAACTCCTGCGCCTGCTCACAACAGTCATGGCAGGGACAATGCTCAAGACAAGCGCAAGAAGTCTGTGCGTCGCAGTGTATCCTTGATCAAACCGGGTGGCCTTGCAGGCTACATTGGCGCATTATCTTCGTACCGTTCATTCATCGATGTCGTTGCGAAGACTGATGTCTACGTTGGTTTCTTACCCCGTGCGTCCCTTGAAAGGATTGTAGATCGGTACCCTATCATCCTTTTGACGATGGCCAAGAGGCTGACAAGTCTTTTGCCGCGCCTTCTCCTTCACATCGACTTTGCTCTGGATTGGGATCAGGTCAGCGCTGGCCAAGTCATATTTCACGACAGCGACGAGAGTGAAGCTATCTACATTGTCTTGAATGGACGTCTTCGTCTCGTCGAAGACCGCGAAGGCGGTGGCATGACTGTACGAGCCGAGTTTGGCCAGGGCGACAGCGTAGGTGAGCTGGAAGTACTTACCGAGTCGGCCCGCACCGGAACTTTACATGCCATTCGAGACACAGAGCTTGTAAGATTTCCGCGAACGCTTTTCAACAGCCTAGCTCAAGAGCACCCGAACATCACTATCAAGATATCAAAGATCATTGCTGCCCGCATGCGCAGTTTGGTAGATGATCCAGCCCAGCTAATGGCAAATGAAGCTGGGCTCTCTGCGTTAGGCAAAGGCTCGTCGGCGCTCAACTTGCGGACAGTAGCTGTGCTTCCTGTGACCGCAGGCGTACCAGTTGTTGAGTTTGGCCATCGTTTGTTGAATGCTTTGGTGCAAGTCGGCCCAGTCAACGGCGCGATTTCATTGAACCAGTCCGCGATTCTCAACCACCTTGGCAAGCACGCTTTCAATAAAATGGGCAAGCTGAAGCTATCCCAATACCTCGCGGATCTGGAGGAAAAGTACGGCCTTGTGGTCTACGTCGCAGGTATGTCACTTTTTACTCAACCGCTCTTCCAGTTACGTCTCTTTTTTATGATGAGCAAATCCTGTTTCCAGAGGCCAAGCCGCTGATGGCCAAACATAACTCTAATTTTTTCCTGAACTTGAGAATCATTTACACAAGCACATGCGCTCTTTGTTGAAGGCAACATGCTAATCATGCGGTGTTGTTGATCAGACACAAACGTCAATTCGCCCTGGACGCAGACTTGTATCGCACAAGCCGATTCTATACTGCTGGTGGGCTTGGGCGAGGGCTCCCCTGAGATTGGTGAGTACGAGCGCTTCATGCTGGGCATGAAGTCAACCGCGCGCAAGATCCTGGTTCTGCTCCACGCAGAGCGGTATTCGTCACCTGGTCTGACCAGGTCCTGGCTTCGAAACCGAATGTGGATTAATGGCGGTCACTATCACCTGCAAATGGCTTTTAGAACCAACATGATGCCATCCCACCCCCCTTCTAAGAGATCAAACACGACACTGAAGGAGCGTGTCCAGATCTTGCAGGCTGAGATCCAGAAATACACCTCGAGAAAGGTTCGACACACACCCTACTACTCGCCTGATGCACCGTTCAAGGGCGATTTTCATCGTCTGGCCCGACGATTATGTGGCAAGTCGGTGGGTCTCGTGCTCGGAGGTGGTGGCGCTCGAGGCATCACTCAGATCGGCATCATCCAGGCTATGGAGGAAGCTGGCATTCCCATTGATGTTGTGGGTGGAACATCAATGGGATCGTTTGTTGGTGCCCTCTACGCAAGGCACGCAGACATCGTGCCCATTTTCGGCTTGGCGAAGAAATTCTCAGGCCGGATGGCTAGTATGTGGCGCTTCGCGCTTGACTTGACTTACCCGACATCCTCATACACCACTGGGCACGAATTCAACCGCGGGATTTTCAAGACTTTTGGCAAGGCCCAGATTGAAGACTTCTGGCTCGAATTCTACTGCAATACCACCAACATCAGCAAGAGCCGGGCGGAGTATCATACCAGTGGGTACGCCTGGCGGTACATTCGAGCGTCCATGTCTCTGGCGGGGTTACTTCCTCCCCTATCAGACGAAGGAAGCATGCTATTGGATGGTGGCTATATCGACAACCTTACGGTATCTCACATGAAGAGACTAGGCGTTGATACGATCTTTGCCGTCGATGTCGGCTCGTTGGATGACGATACCCCCCAGAGCTATGGCGACTCTCTTTCAGGAGTTTGGGCGTTTTTTAATAGGTGGAATCCCTTCTCAACAACGCCCAACCCGCCTACTCTGGCGGAAATTCAGGCTCGATTAGCGTACGTGTCCAGTGTAGACGCCCTGGAGCGTGCCAAAGCCATGCCTGGATGCTTATACATGCGACCTCCCATCGACGATTATGGCACGCTCGACTTTGGGAAGTTCGATGAGATTTACCAGGTGGGCTACAAATATGGCCAAGAGTTCTTACAGAAGATGAAGGACGATGGTGTCTTGCCGCTGGTCGAAGAGACGGAAGCCAAGAAAGCATTGCGCAGGACAATGGCACCTCGCCGCGCCAGTATTTAGAAAGCCTCGCATTGCCGCTCGGCAGATACATCGTGTGCTGGCCATCCATGCAAACGTGTTGTGATCGAATCAATAGCGGGCTCGACCAACCTTCAAGGTCATGCGTCATTCTGTCCATACAGCTCCTCACGATTCCGCGCATAATCTGCAAGACACTAGGTTCAAGGGTTTATCTTCTAAGTCACGAGTATCACCCTAGTGATTTTCTTCATGAGGGGTCAGGCCACCGCTGCTATGTACACTGTCCAATCCCGAAGGCGCTGCGTCGCTTTTCCGTGCCAGCCTTGAGCATGTAAGGGCTATTGAGCAAAAACAACGGGACGATCTATGTGACGTCACTGGCATAGAATGACGAAAGATCCAATTGCTGACCCAATTCGGCAATGCTGGATGCGTGTATCCACATGCCGAGGATCACCGCAGCTGCGGACTACGCATTGAAAGCCTTCAGAGGTGGAGTCCTCAGACATACCGCTCGAACGAGCCTTTTTCAGTTACGTAGGTGGCCAGGGCATCGTCGGGCGAGAAGTGGTATGCGGTGAGTGTCACTGCATCGTTGGGCAGGCAGCTCCATTCGACGCAGCACATCGATGATCGCTTTCGGTGGTCGATCTAAACGGGCTCTGCTGAAATACTTTTAAAGCCTTAGCTTTCCTCCCCATGGGCGTTCAGGTTATAGCACCCAAGAAAGCAACTGATCCAGCGGTCGACCAATCAATACTACACAAACTGTGCATCAGGGTCGACTGCCAGGACCACCAACACGTTTGACGTACACCGACCTCATCCCTCTACTTTTCATTGCTGTACCGGAGCAGGGGCTTTTCCTGATCCCCCATGGCCATCGCCCAACCTTGAGAAACGCGCGGAAACAAATAAGCTACTAAGCTACCCAGTGCAGCACCCGACATGTCGCGTTCGGCGAGACCTCACACAACGAGTGGCCGTTCAGGGAGCGTGGAGGCCAGTGCTGAACCAGGAAGAGATAGGCATCCCGCGGACTTCAAATTCAACTGGACCCCTGTCATCCTGGTTGGACTCATCAGCACTACCATGTGGGGGCCATTCAACCGGACGCTAGACAAGTGCAACAAGCGTCACGAAGAGGAAGACCGCATCGAAGAACAAAGGAGGCAGGAGCAGGAAGAGCACATGAGGAGGGTGGAGAGGAGACGTGCAAGAGCCCAGAGCATGTACGACTTTGAGGAGTCACAATTCAACCCATACCAGCGGCACGAGCGTGTGCAAGGCGGCACAATGGCAGGGGAAGAAGATGGAAACTGGCGGCGCCGGGGTCGGAGTGCAGTCGGAGGCCGGCTCGAAAGTGCCGTCAGAGCTGGCGGAGTCGAGCAACCCCAGCCTCGATGGGCGGCTGACGAAAGGTATGGTCGCGTCTATGAATATGAGGTTATTGAGGCACCAGAAGTAGATCGCCGGATAACGCGGCCTAGGAGGCGGGACAGATCATAATATATTTGGTGGCTGCGGGAGGGTTTCTGACTATCTCAAAGCATTCGATACGGGTTGACTTCTGATTCAATTGAACAAGACACGCCCTTTATTGACTTCCTAGATGATCAAGGTGCCGGACGTAGGATTGAACACTGCCCCTAAAAGGCAGGGTTAATGCACGCAGTACTCCGGAGTCTTGCAACACCGCATAACCACAAACCAAGTGACATTCTTTAACGGTGGGATGAACGCGTCCTGATGTAGAGACGTTTTGCGCCACGCCCCCAGAACGCGGCACCCCTGTTCAGTCCGGGGACCCTGCATGACACAGTCGCGTTGTTGTCCCCTAGAACGATGTGGATTCCAGTACCGTGTTTAGCGCCCATCACAGGAATCATCACCTTTGCCCCCCTTCAACCGCCTTGCCTTGGAGGCCCCCTTAAGACCACCCTAGGTCATCGTCGTTGAAACGCGACAATACCCGCGTCCATGCCGCTCGCCATATCCACAAACCAAGAAGAACTTCGACCCACTGATCACATGCGACTCTCGAGGCCGACCGACCATGTCTTTTTCCTCAGAGCGAAGAGCATCTAGCACGAGACGCCAGTCGAGCACCAACCTCAGCCCCCGAGACCGCGATGTCGACCTGTCGCAATCATTGAATAAACTCTCCTTGTCAGCATCGCCTGCAGTCAGCAGAGCGCCGCGAAGCCCCAGTGCGCTGTCTCCTTACAGATCATCTGCTAGCCGGTCCTCGACCTCACCAGCGCCTGGAAGCACATCAGGCCGTAGCCCCTCTCTGAACAGAGCCTCTCCGTCCCGATCTTCCACACCCACGCTCCTGCGTAAAGCATCGACCAGTTCGCTGCGCTCGGCGAACGGACGTACTCCGAGTCAGCCACCTTCTCGCCGCTCAAGCTTAGCCCACGTCTCCTCGCCATCCCAGACGTCTGCCGTCACGGAGGAACCCCCCCGACCACCACCGACTGCCAGCTCAGTCGCAAGCGAATACTTCAAAAACGAGTTGAACTTGTGCCATGTTCTCTCCACGACGCAGCAGACACACGCCGCTATCATTCTCTCTGACGCGTGCTACGGACATCGTTACTCCCGCCCCAAGACATCGCGCGCCGCCCTCAGCACTATTGTTGAGCGTCCCGAAAGAATCAAGGCTGGCGCCCTCGGGGTAGCCATGGCATACGTGCGCCTCGGAGGTCGTCATTGCGATGGCGACTATCCAGCTCACCCGAGGCTCGACCCGACCTCGATACCCACCATACCTTTCAAGATTCATAAGACGACGCGCAAGCTTCCACTTCTCTCGCCTGCCGTGACGAACGTGCATGGTTCTAAGTGGATGGAAGAGCTAAGAACCATGTGCCGGCTTGCCGAGTCTAAACTCGCCATGGGCGGCAAGGAGCTGGCGAGGCCGGAGAGCGGCCGGACTGGCGACACGGGCGGTGCTGCCAAGCTCCACGAAGGCGACCTCTACCTTTGCGCTGACTCCCTGGATGCCTTGGAGGGCGCTCTCGGGGCTGTCTGCGAAGCAGTCGATCTGGTCTTTTCTGATGGTCCGCGTCGTGCTTTCGTTGCAGTTAGGCCACCGGGTCACCATTGTTCCTCATCCTACCCATCTGGCTTTTGCTGGGTGAACAACGTGCATGTTGGCGTCATGCACGCGGCGCTAACTCACGGGCTGACACATGCTGCCATTATCGACTTTGATTTACATCACGGCGACGGTTCCCAGTCGATAGCGTGGCAACACAATACCCGTGGTGTCTCTGCCGCCAAAAACGCGCAAGCGTGGAAGAAGACCTCCATCGGCTACTTCAGTCTTCACGACATCAACTCGTATCCTTGCGAAATGGGTGACGAGGAAAAGGTCAAAAATGCCAGTCTGTGCATTGAAAATGCCCATGGCCAAAATATGTGGAACGTACATCTTCACTCGTGGGGCTCGGAAGCCGAGTTCTGGAAGCTGTACGAGACAAAATACACTGTCATACTCGAGAAGACACGCTCTTATCTGCAACAGCAGGCCGCGCGCTTGCGCGCCAATGGCCAGACGCCCAAGGCTGCCATCTTCTTTTCTGCCGGCTTCGACGCCAGTGAGTGGGAAACCAAGGGTATGCAGCGTCATAATGTGAACGTGCCCACCGAGTTCTATGCACGCATTACACAAGATGTGATCAGAATAGCCGCGGAGGAGGGACTGGGTGTTGATGGCAGAGTCATCAGCGTTCTCGAAGGCGGCTACAGCGACAGGGCGCTGTTTTCAGGTATTTTCAGTCACGTCTGTGGCCTTGCCGGTGACCAGTCGAACCCTGGACCACCAAGTGGTCGAGGGGGCCTGGCGTATGAAATCAGCCACAGGATTGGCATCATAGAAGAAGGGGAACCTGCAGTTCAGTCAACCAAGCGCGCTGGACCGTACGAGCCACTACCCGAGTCGCAAAACCTGTCATCGCTACACGCATATGACCCATCATGGTGGTCGAGTGCAGAGCTCGATAACCTCGAGGTTGCCATGGGGGTTCCTCCTGTTGAACCCAAGATGCCGCGTTATGCGACACCACCAACCTACTCGTCCCCCACACAGGCGTCGACAGCTCGAGTTGTCAACCCTGCCAAGATGCGTCGAAGCCTGTCAGGTCTTTCGGCACCAAATGGACCCATCTCCCGACCTCCAACGCCTCCGGCTCCCGAGGTGCCGTGGACTGTTGCCGCGCATGAACTCAGCAAGTTGCTCATTCCCTCTGACCGACAGACCGACAGCTGCACGGCCGAAGATCTCAATGCCGAGGCGACCCGGGCGCGCCGGGACCGGCAGTCCCTCCTCCAGCCAACAGTACCGGCACCAGCAACTTCCGCGAACGCTAGTAGCCGACCGTCGTCCCGCATGTCGTTGCGTGAGCGCAAGCCCGCCAAAGCAACGGCATTTCCCGAAAGCGGCAATGGCGCGAACGATGACAAGCACCTAAAAAGTCGCAGAAAAACCGTTGCCGGAGCTGCTATTCTTGCCACGGACGAGGTAAGTCCTTCGCACTTGAATGAATTGGGTCAAAGCGGCACTGACGCGTGGACAGCCATCTCCTGGAGTGTCCCCCATTCCTGCTGCTTCACCCAGCTCTCAGAGGACTGGCCGTCGGGTGAGCGCGGCCTCGATGATGACCACTATACCTCCTGCCCCCGAACCGAACACAGCTAGCAGCAATGTGGGTTCTCGAGGGGAATCTTCTAGCGCCAGGCCAGACATGCTGAAGGGTGGCAGGGCACCCGGCGACAATACTTCACTCGCCGTAAAGAAGACGAGAACGCCAACTGCCACCAGAGGAGGGCCAAGCCGCGGACCGCGGGGAGGTAAAAAGACTACGAACCCCAGAACCGAGCCAAATACCGAGCTTGTCGGGCCTGTCGGGCTTACTCAGGCGTCATTGCCTAACCATGGCCGGCAGGTCTCAGCTCATCCGCCAAGTGCTGATCTGGACAAGATTACAACAGGCATGAAAAAGATCAAGATCAATCTCATTACGAAGTCTCAGAAGGAGGAAAGAGCGCGGTCGTCACAGGCAGCGGCAGCGACAGCAGCAGCATCAGACACCCGACCGGAGCACGGCTCAACAGGGGACCAGTCTGCACCTCAACCTGCTTCCGAGTTTCTACCTCAGCCAGACGTCGCTATACCGCCAGTTGTTGATGAGACGACTTCGGCTCTGGCCGTTGGGGAAAGTGCCAAGCCCCAGCCGGCATTGACAGTTAAGCCTGCGATAGGTGCTCATGAGGGCCCAGTGAGCGCGCAGTTGCCGCTTTCTTCAGACGTGCCTGAGCACAAGGTTCTGCCGAATAATTCCTTTGCAAGGCCGGCATCTTTTCAGAAGGCACAGCAAGACGGCGCGGACCAGAACCCTGCACTGGGACTGACTTCTGATACGAGCCCGGGGATGTTTGTAGCTTACCAGGCAGAGGGCCCTGCACCATTGCCTGTACCGCAGCAGGGGTCGCTGAGATGGCTTCCGCCCAACACCTCAACACCTGCCACGACGAGGCGGACAGATCTTCCCGTCTTTACCTCGACATCCGCCATTCCGTTTGCTGCAGCACAGAAACACTCGCAATCAACGGCCCACGAAGAAGGTCTCCAAGAGACAGGCGCGAAACGAGAGCAGCCACGTGAGACCTAGCATTGCCATCTCAAGGCGAGACGCAATTCGCTGGAGCTGGTCAGGAAACCTCCTCTCTTCTAATGTCGCCTACAGACATGGCGTCGCAAGGATTACTTTTCTTTTCGTTCGTGTTTAGGCTCCTATCTTCGCAAGTTCCCCGCTGGTGGTGTTGAGTCTGGGTAGTGAGTCTGAGCTTTTAATCGGATGTTGCTTAGATGCCATCCCTTGATACCCTTTTCACGCCTCTGCCTGCTGCTCATTCTATCGAGCGAGGGGCTAGTGTGCGCTTGCATTTCTTGCAATTCGTTTGGTGTGGCCTGGCACAGTCACACAGACATGGCAGAGCGCCACTGGTCAGCTGTCGATGGGGGAGGGTACCCCTTTGATTTGTAGTGACTTCGTATGGATATCATGATAGAGAACATGATCAGGCACGTTGCGAGGATGACTGGTTGAGATTTGTCGGTGGGGATTGTCTGAATAAAAAAGTGGGATAGCGACCGGGTGAGCGGGGGCAGTACATACATACTACACCTACCGTACCGACCTTATCTAGGCTAATTACCCTACCTAGGCAACTTTGTCTTCACATGCGCCTGCGCGCGATATCGCTGTCATGACCACCAGCCCCGACATTGCTTACCACCGCGCACCCCGTTCTCGCCTCCACCATCGTCAGCAAGCAGTGTGACCAGGCGTTGGAACTGTGCACGATTTCTCCAGCTTGACAACATGGCGTTTACCATGCACTCGCACTCGGGGCAATTCTGCCCCGGGCATGCCAAGGACCAGCTCGAAGACATCATTCGTCATGCCATCAGCGTGGGATACAAGACTATGGGCCTCACTGAGCACATGCCCCGACTGCAAGTCTCAGACCTGTATCCAGAAGAGCTCACTGGCGATCCCGACGAGGCCGTCGCTGTGCTCACACCCCGCCACGAAGCCTACCTCATCGAGGCTCAGCGCCTGCAGGCCAAGTATGCCTCCCAGGTCCACGTCCTGATCGGCTTCGAAGGCGAATGGTACCGCCCCGCCTACGGACCCTACATCACGACCCTCGCCGCCCACCCAGCTGTCGACTACTTCATCGGCAGTATCCACCACGTCAACGCCATACCCATTGACTACGATGCCGCCACGTACGCCCAGGCACGAGAGTCGTCAGGCGGTACCGAGGAGCGCATGTACGAGCGCTACTACGACCAGCAACACGAGATGCTGACCGCCCTGCGGCCGCGGGTTGTCGGCCACTTTGACCTGATTCGCCTCTTGAGTGAGGATCCCGGACGAGACGTGAGCGCGTGGGCCGGCGTCTGGCAGCGTATTGTGCGAAACCTCGAGCTTGTTAGGAGTTTCGACGGCTTGTTGGAATGCAACAGTGCCGCCCTCAGAAAAGGTCTGGTCGAGCCGTATCCGAACCGTCTCATCTCCGAGGTATGTTGAAATGGTTATGTATTCGTCCCGCAGTTTCCTCCTTTCGCTTTCTCTTTCCCTTTTTTTTTCTTTTCTTTTTTTGTTGCAAACACTAACCACACCAGAAATGGTTGTCCATGGGAGGACGCTTTACCTTTTCCGATGACAGCCACGGCATTGACCAGGTAGCGACCAACTACTTGCGCAATATCGAGTATCTAGAGAGTCTCGGTGTATCGACCGTATACACTTTGGAGAGGCTGACCCCGGCGGCATCATCCACTACAGGCACTAAGGCTACGCTCGCTGAGAAGCCGGTATTGTTGTCGACCTTTCGGGAGACGCTGGCTCTCGGACAGCCGTAATATGATGTATCGCGCCTTGACATGCGGTATTGCTGTTTTCGAATATTGATCTCATCCTGTATATAGTCAACTGGTGGGCGGACTGACTGGATCGGCTCGCCCGTGTCAGTCCTGCCAGGTGCATTTTCGAGGGCCGAAAGCAAAGCCGGCATCTAGAGAGACGGAGCGGCAAAGCCCGGCTGCGGAGCCCCGCTTTTTGTGAACCGATACTATGTCCCTCTGTACAGGACCCGTGACCATGACATGAACCCCTCTCAGCTTGCTCCAACTGTCATCCTTCTCTCATCGTCAGCTCAAAAAAATTTGAGGACATTGTAGTTGGAAAATTAGCTCGCCACATCGCACATGATGAAAGTCACAGCCGTAAGACTCTCTTTTCAACGCGTAGCAAGTTCCCCTCAATCTCACCGCCTTCGTTCCCTAGCTCTACGTGTATCCCATCAAGGGCCTCCGCGCCATCCCCTTGACCACGGCAACCTTTACCCGGCAGGCATTTTGCACGACCGCACCTTTATGCTCCTCAAGGTCCTCGAGTCGGGGTCGCTCAAGCGATGCAACTGTCCGACTTTCCGGCCTGCGCGCTGTTCGAGCAGCAAATCGTGGACGACACGATCCGCGTGCGCTACCACGGTCCCCGACGGGCCGCTGGCGCCCGACCATCCGCTGCAGCACCGGCCTCTGAGCGTGCCGCTGACGCCTGAGGACCTCGGATCGCTCGACGAGGTCGACGTTGACCTGCACAACAGCCCCGTGCGCGCCCGCAGGGTGGGCGACGCGCAGGACGCGGGGTTCTCCGCCTGCTTCGGCTTCCCGACGACGCTCGTGTACATTGGCGACGGCCGCCGCGCCGTCGCCGGCCCCCAATTTTCTACCGCCCGGAACCGGGGGCGCCGACAAAAGCCCAGCGGGGGCTGGGCTGTCGGCCGCCTCGTCGTACGTCGCACATTTTACGCAGCCACGGCGCCAGCGGGTGAGGAGGAGCAGAACCGATGTCTGGCTGACGTTCACCGACTGCGCACCCTTTCTCGTGACCTCCGAGGCCTCGCTCGCCGCCGTCAGCGCGCGCCTGCCGCCCGACACTCCGGCCGAGATGATCAAGTTCCGACCCAACGTCGTCGTTGATGCCGACAGCGCGAGCGAGTGGGGACGAGGACTTTTGGGCCGAGCTTGGCCTGCCGGGCGACCGCCGCCTGCAGCTGACGGCCAACTGCGTGCGCTGCACGTCGCTCAACGTCGACTACGCCACGGGGCGGACGGCGCAGGGCGAGGCGGGCACGGTGCTCAAGAAGCTCATGAAGGACAGACGCGTCGACAAGGGCAGCAGATGGTCCCCCGTCTTTGGGCGCTACGCCTTTCTCGCGGGCCGCGACCCTCTGGTCGTCCGCGTCGGTGACGAGGTCGACGTCGTCAGGCGCAACGAGGAGCGCTCCGTGTACGACTGGCCCATGCACAGCAAGCCTCCAGTGACAAACCCGGCGTGAGGGACGACGACGAATCCATTTGTACCCACGCTGCGTCGTCCACGCGTAACGTTGCGTTTGCGTGGCAGTGTGGTGCAAGCGAGTAAGCGAGCGCGGCATGACCCCTCTCTGACACCGCTGCCACGTCGCTTTCAAAAAGCTGGCCCTCTCTCGCTTCGGCCCGTCATCGATGGGTGCCAATGAGACCCGATAGCCAGGCGAAAGGGGCGGCGGCAGCAGCAGCATTCTAACATGGCACGGCGTGGCATGCCGAGGGACACGCTCACGTGTCTTGTCAAGTGAATGGCCACGTAGAACCGTGTACTATGACATGACGTCAGGAGCCACACGTCACACGTCGCCTGCGTGTCGGCATGGAAAGGAGAGGCTGAATACTGGGCGACTGGTGATACGACATTGTGACTGATGCATGTACAGAGACGTCTGTGCAGCCAAACTGGCGACCCAGATGTCCCACGCAAATCAACATGGCTCCACACATCTTTGATCTAAGGGTACCTCATGCCGGGATGTAACTACTTCGCATCAGGCGACAGGTCTACGCAGCGAGATGGACCAGTCAGGATGTCGGCGGGAAGTTAGGCACAAGGAAGACCACCTCTTGCACGGTATAAGCCAATTATACTGGCTGTCCGAATCAAAATACAAACAACACGTAGCGCTAAGCATGTTCAACACCGAGAGGCGAGTTCTGTATTGTCATGCTACAGACAGTCTAAGACGGGGAAAGGGGTATGTATTCCGACTGAGGAGAAGAAAAAGGGGGGGTATCGGACCAGAAACTCCAAGACGCAACGTCAGATAGGGCAGATAGAATCAGGGGGGAAAGAGCAGAGGGGAAAAAACGAGGCACATGAAAGCTTGCCCAGCCGTGACAGCTAACAAAGGTTGTCGTGTTGTTGATACATGCCAGGCTGAGTCCAGGCAGTCGGGGCAGCGAGATCCGATGAGATAACACGCCAGTCGAATTCGAACGGAAATGGCACCATGGGCCTGGTTGGGGACGCTAACCAGGCTCGAAGGCCCCCTGGAGCTGGTGGAGGCGATCATTCGAATGCTTCCCGCCAACGTTCTTCGAACGCCATGGTGGGGGCAGACGACAAGGTGGTGGGTGGGTGGCGAGACCGGCTCGGACTCTGACAGGCTAGACGGACGACAGGAGATGGCAAGAAGTAGCCGTCAAGATACAACGACGGACCAAAGGGCACAAGGGGCAGGGGGCAGAAGTGTAGATAACATCAAGGAGTTGACCAGCGTGGGCGGATAAAAAGAAATAGGTGAGGTAAGGGTACAGGATAAATAGCAAAAAAAGAGGGGAATCGGACCAGAGCCAAAGGATAGAGAGAGAGAGAGAGAGAGAAAGAGAGAAAGGTACACAAAGAGGGGGCCATGGAGATCGCCAGTAAGCGAGGACGATGGTGGCTGAGGAGCGGCACAACCGAGTGACGCCCATGGCGATCGGCGACAGCCCGAGTGGTCCAGTAGCGGTGTCTGGGGCCCCAGCGTACTTTCAAATATGCCTGGCAAGCCTGGGCATGTTTAAGCCCTCCCTCCCACTCCTTCTGAGCCACAGGAGCCACAGCGCCCACGTGCGCTGGTGCAGGTCGACTGCAGCATCAGTGCAGTTCCTAGAATTGGCGG